AATCTTAATATGTGACTGTATTACACAGATATAACTCAGCATGAAACAGGCAAAAGATACCTAAGAGATGTCTTTAGGAACATTTTACAACATAACTATGGTAATACAACTCTCATAACGCAACTTTATTGAAATAAGAAAAAAAATTACAGGGATACATCCCTTATTCTCCTAAAACAATTAAAACCATCTGTGGTTGCTATATTTGAATATGTATAACTGTCTTTAACATTAAATCTGTTTATACATATTCAAAAATAGCGTTTTCATGTATAACCTGAGTATAAAAGACCAGGAAGTGAAAATCTTTCATGATATAACCCTAATACATTAGGCAAGAGAGAAATAAATGCTGATATACAGGTACCAGACAGTCATGCCTGCCTGGCATGGCTACTCTGCGCCTTCTTACGCATAAGTATCTGTGTTCCATGATGTCATCTGAGTGTTTTCCTATTATTATCCTAAACCTCTAGTCTTTCGCTAGAATTTTTAAACTGGTGACGACAATGCTGAAGATGTGAAGGAGAGATGAGAGAATTCCTTTTTCCAACAGTATCAAGGCAATGTGCTATGTAAAATAAATAAATAAATAAATAAACTTTAAGGCTTTTAGTAGGATGAGGACAAACTGTTCTATATTTCCTTATGCATGAAACTAAAAGAAAATGGCTTAAGCAGCAAGGAAACGTTTTATGTGGAATAAAAAAGAATTGTTAACGGTAATGGTAATTAATGCTGTAACATATTAATATCTGATGGAAAATACCTGTTCCATGATATGACAAAATGTTTGATATTTAGACAGGGTAAACTGAACTGCATATATTACAGGTTAATAATTAGCTTCTCTTCTGGAGGGTTAACAACCTAAGTTAGCAGATCAAAATTGGAGAAAAGGAAGGGCTGCATGGTTAGCCAACATTTTGACCCTAGCCTTTCAAGGTCAGTGAAGACTCAGGACATAGGAGAACCTGTACTGTAACAACATGTAACTCAGTTGTGCTCCAAATTTTCTGATCAAGAAGATTATGGAGCCACAGAGG